AATACTAGAGGCCTGGTATGCATGCAAAGTGGGGGGGGGGACCACATAAGGTTGGCTGATGGGGGTGTGCGGAGGAGGGACTGCGGGATGTTGGCCACTGGCCCCCAAGGAGGGAGCTGGCCCTCAGCCCCTGTGGGAAAGGGCCGTGTCCACTGCCACCCACCTCCAGTTCCCTGTCCCAGTCTAGGCCTGAAGGCCCCAGTGGGGTTGGGAGAGAAGGTGACGGTCGCCAGGCCGAGTGCAGAAGGAACGGATGCTGGACACTGCTATCAGAACCCTGCCACCACGTGGTTCCCCTCCTCACTCCCTCCTCCTTCCCTCACCACTGCACCGCCACTGCGGCGGGCGGGCGGCCCCCAGGGAAGGGAGAGGAGGATTCGGTTTCCCTTCTCACCGCCCTCCTCCTTCACCACCACAACCACCACGGCAGGCGGGCAGGCAGCCCCCAGGGAAGAGAGAGAAGGAGGCAGTTCCCATCTCCTCCCCTCCCTTCCCTTGTCGCCACCACCACTTTGGCGGGTGGGCAGCCCCTGGGGAAGGGAAAGGATGGGAGTAAGACAAACCCTTGTGTCGAGGGCTGACTTTTGATAGTTTTCAGCAAGGGAGCTGCTCTGCTACATACGAAACCCCAACTCAGAACAGGTCTCTACGAATGGTTTAGCAGCAGGGGCCAATGGGGGCTGGCTGGCCGGGGGGAGGGGCCGTGGGAGGTTGGCTGTGGCAGTGCACTGACCACCAGGGGGCCGCTCCTGCATTGACCGTCTGCCCCCTGGTGGTCAGTGCATGTCATAGTGACTGGTTGACCCGTCGTTTGGTTGTAACGGTCGCTTAGGCTTTTATATATATATATAGACTGATCTTGCATTAATTTATGCAATGTAGGACCATCTGAAAATGTGCTCTGTTGATATCTTCCATAAAGATCTTCCACAGGGACAGAAGCTCCTGTGCACAGACCTTTTGATGTTTCTATCCCTCTCTCCTTCTTCCTTCCTCTCTGAGATCAATAAAAATATTTAAAATATAGATAGATAGATAGATAGATAGATAGATAGATAGATTACAGAGGGGAAGGTAGAGGGAAGGAGAGATAGAAACATCAATGATGAGAGAAAATCATTGATTGGCTGCCTCCTGCACATCCCCTCCTGGGGATCAAGCCCACAACCCAGGCATGTGCCATTGACTGGAATCGAACCTGGGACCCTTCAGTCAGCAGGCTGACGCTCTATCCACTAAGCCAAACCAGCTAGGGCGAAATTCTTCATTTTTTTTTCTCCTGTTTGAAATAAGTTACTTCAGACTGGAAGTAGCTTATTTATCTGGTTGGCTCAATCCTATTTTCTAAGACTATAGCTAAAGCATAACGCCTAAAGCCTAGGCCCTTACCTGCCCTTGTCATAAATAAGTAAAATGCTAAGCCAGTCTGACAGCTGTGTGCTTAGTTTTGCGTGAAGGTTATAGGATGTAACAAGCCTTGTCCCTGGTCCCTCAGGAGCAGTTATCTTTTTGAGGTGTCAGACTTGTCCTTGGGTGTTCCTAGCTTCCAGAACCATGTGTAGGAGGCAGAGGGTGTGAGTGTGGAGGGGGGGAGGATGGCTCTGGGTGCTCGTCTTACCTCCTTTTCTGCCCTTCCCTCTGCCACCTGGGGAAAGTAAAGTTGAAAGGCCACCTGGTGGATCAGGCTGTGGGCAGCATTGGTGCAGAAAAGGAAGAGGCTGTGTCTGTCTTACCCACCTCCTGCCCTAGTGCCCAGCACGGTGCCTGACATGTAAATGACAAGAACTCCTGTTGAACGTCGAGTGATTGGGTGGCAAGGCTCATATAGTGCCATGCAGTGCTTCTCCCCTTCCCCTCACAGTTACCTCCTTGAATCGCACACAGTCCAGAATCAAACCAAATCCCAAGACCCCACACCTGGGAAATCATTTGGTCAACTGTAAGGATGGCTTCCTTTGTCTCCGGAGCCTCTACCCAGTTAAGACACAATTTAGGCGTGTGAAGAAAACATTAGAGTTCTTTGGGACACAAAGCAGTGATGTCTTGCTAAGAAGAGCAGCTTCTTAGATCTGGTCATGTCCTCTTCCTATTGGGTGAAATCCAAGCCCATCATCTTGGCTGGCAGTGCCCTGCAGGCACTGGGTCCAGCTTTCCTGTACCTGCCACCCCCCTGCTCCTCCAGCACACCAGGCCCTCCTGCTTGCTCCACCCTCTGTCTGGAATGTTCTTCCATAGCTCTTCACTTGCCGCAGTCTTTCTGATCCATTAAAGGTCCGCTTAACAGGCACTTCTCAGTGAGGCCTTCTGTGCCCTCTCTGTCATCCCTTTTGTCCCACACTTAGGCATTTTGCATTTTCCCATGTGCTTGCTTGCTTGCTTGCGTATTAGTTGTCTGCCACACCTGATAGAGTGCTTTACACGGGCAGGACTGTTTTCTGGGCAGCATCTAGTCTAGTGCCTGGTTCAGCGTAAGGTCTCAATAAACCAATATTAGTTCAAACGAGTGAATGACGCGTCAACATCCTTTTTGTCAGAAAAAGTATTTCAAGGAAAAAACAAAACACCTTTTCTTCTCTCAGATTCATAACATTGAACATATATTCCTTAGTCTTGGGAAAGAACTGCCTTAAAGATTAGGGTCAGTGACTTAGTGTCCATTGTCTATACTAATATTAGTGCTTTTATTCCTAAACTTTTAATGTATTTTCTCCCCTCCTTTTTTTTTCTTTTGTCTTTCCTTTTTAGCAAGGGAAGCCATATGTCTTCGACAGAGTGCTGCCTCCCAGCACGACCCAAGAGCAGGTTTACAGTGCGTGTGCAAAGCAAATTGTCAAAGGTAAGCACTATTCCTTTATTTCCTCCTGGGCCTTTCAGAGTAATTGAAAACATTAAGTGATATTTGCAGCTTAAGAATCAATGTGCTTTGACTGTAATGCAGCTTAAGAATCAATGTGCTTTGACTGTAAGCAGAGGCCTACTAATTGGGCACACCGAATTACAGCCCGCGGTCTGGTCCTGATTTGCTGGGGATGTCATGCAAGTTATTTAACCTCCTGACACCTCCTTTCTGAGGATATTTCTTTATTTCTTCTGCCACCTTTCTGGCGGAGCTATTTTATCACTTAGAAGCTTCCAAGCTAGGTGAGCTAGGACCACACTTTTTTTTCTAATGGCTTTAAAATACTGCTGCAGGTGGGGGAGTTCTGTTTTCCTTCCAAGGAGAAATATATATATATTCCTGATGCTCCAATTGTACATTTTTGGTTGATCTATTTTGTGCATCGGTTTCTTCAGAAAGAAGCCTTAAAGGTGGAAAATTCTTGAGCATCAAAGAATTTTTTCCAGCATCATAAAATCACATTACCTTGCTGGTTACTGAGCTGTCTTTGCTATTCAGCATTCCTTAATTATGCTTTCCTCTAACCCACTTTCAGTCATTTCACTCCGATCCTGGCATTGGTTCCTCCAGATAGGCAGCCTGAAGCCTACACTTGTGTCCCGGAGATCTGTCCTTTCCTCTGGGACTGGCCTTGGCCCTGAGTGATTTGTGTCACAATAACAGCAGGGAGATGAAGCATTTACAAGCCGCCCTCCCTCACCCTTTCCAGTCGGGGGCAGGTTGGAGCTTGCCTTGCAGAGCTCACCATCTGCACTGAGCTGAGGGGCATCTCCTGCTGCTTGCTTTTCATCATTAAATCCTTGCTTTCAAATTTGAATGCTTTGGCATTTGTGCCTTCAAATGTCTTGATGCTGCCACCTTTATAGGTAGCTCTGGATTTAAAGAGCAAAAAATAAAAACAAAGTAA